TTTTTAGTTTGAGTAAGTCCCATTTGTTGATTCTATTTGTTAACTCTAGCGCTATGGGTGTCCTATTGAGGAATTTGGAGCCCGATCCCACAGCGTGTAGATCATAACCAACTTTTTCTTCTATCAGATGCCGTGTCTCTGATTATATTTTACTTCTTAAAATACACAATGCTGCCTCCTCAGAAAAGACATTCAATAAAATGTTCATGTCACTGAGAAGTCCCAGACAACCAATTTAATTAAGAGATATAATGGTCTCCTCAATACCTATTCAAATTCCATGCAGTCTGGTAAATTGAACTACAAATGGATTTCTCTCTAACTCTAGAACTTAATCTCCTTTAATTCAAGATCCCTTGGTGACTCGAATCTCATACCAACTTTAAAAACGTTTCTTAAGGCCCTTTCCTATATTTAAAGGGGGATATATTTCACCTATACATATGTAAAAAAATCATTATATATGAGGTCTTTTAGTAATATATACCTCTATATTTACATAATTTCAATCATGCCATAATCTTACAAGGTCTGGATGCCAGATCAAGGACATGTACTCTCCTGGAATCCATTAACCATAAATTACCGTACAAACCACACAGCTGTCTATCTGATATGAAGCCCACTTAAGTCTAAACTTTCACTTCCTAAAAAAAGCTTCCCAAATGTTCATGTTTTAAGGGGTGGATAATAAATCTAGGCTTTATCTTACCCCTTTCAAGAAATTAAAATTAGTACCTCAGAGCCATTCCCACAGTGTGGACTACCTAAAAAGAAATAGAAAACTCTACTTAGTATATAAAAAACACATTCAGAGATAATAATAAAATCATTACCATACCCCATTATGAGAAAACCATATAAAGCATATAATAAAACATGCTAGAAGAAAATAAAAATTAGACAACAAAAGCCTGTCAAGTATTGCTGTATAGCCTGACTATACAGCTGAATATACAGTCAACATTCTGATAATTATAGGTCTGGGTGTTTTTCATTAGTTTATGATGTAGAGGCCCAATCCCTCTGAGCAAGCCATTGTTTCAACCAAACATGGTAAATACTGAAGCCCACATGCCATTAAGTTTGACTAATACAAGCCCCACACTCAAAGAATTCACTGGTTTGCCTGTCATGGACCAGACCAAATGGAGGCAGAGGGCTCATTGTAATTGGCCAAATTAGATGGCCTGCCTGTAGGCTAAGGCTAAAGCCCCAACATTAGCCACAGATACAATAATTAGAAAACAACTTGATATCCTATCAATATCATATACCCAAATCAGGGAACCATATAATTTAAAACCCATTTACAACAGAACTCCTGTCATTATGCAACTGGGAAAAAATCTTGGACTATTGAAAACTTTAGATTCTGCTACATTTAATGGAATCTTTTGTGCCACACATGTCCTGGTGCTTTTTTCATTTACAACACCATCACCAATTCCAACATCACTTTTACTAGCTGTATATACACAAACTTCTTGACTTAACATATATTTACAGGTCAAATTTCCAGGCCCAATATTGCCTTCAAGTTACACAAGCAACCCAGCCTTGTTATGATACCACAGTGACACCCTCTGGTGTGTTATAAGCACTCACATTAAATCCAAGTGGGTATTGACCTGGAAAAGATATCTTAGTCCCACCTCAGATGACTTTATCCTGGTCCAGGTTTTCACTGATAGAGATGATATTCTATCAGATGACTTTACCTCAGCCCAAGATATTACTGCTTGAAGTGGCTCTTAAACGCTGTGATGGAGATAACTACAATCTGGACACTAAAAGCTCTAGCCCAGCAGTATCAGTGACTTCTATTCCTCACTGACAAATTGGACCCAATACATTTATTTCTTTGCTTTCCTTCAATATTAGAGATTTTATGTTTCCTAAGCTCACTGTCTGCTTAGCCCATGATCCTTCAATGTTCATTGCTCTCTATAGTCCCATGACTGAAGGGAAATCTGATAGCAGTTACCGTTATCTGTGTCATTATAAAAATTAAAAGATATTACTGTTTTCCCTAGGAGGCAACTATCTCATCTCAGTTAACTCTTCAATCCCCTAGAGAAAGGACTACCTACGCCTCCCACCTTGTAGGAGTAATTTCCTTATAAAAGACAAGTTTGAAATTCCAACAGGGTTCAACCCCGGGCTGCTAAACTGGAGGGCCCCCAGGGAACAGGGAACAGGGGACCTTTTCCCTGCACACATCCGGAGCCCCTTCTGAGGCTGCACACTAGCCTGAACCAGGCTGTGAAGGGCAGGCGAGCCTCTCCTGCTGTGTAGATGACTTTAAGGCAGCTGTGTCCTGTGGGATCCCCAGGATCACCTAGTTTACTCAGTTAGTAGAAATATTATTTAAAATAACAGTATTTGAAACAATGTTAATACCTCATTTCAAAGGAAATCATAACTTAACAGCACATCCATATGGTAGATTATTCCAGTTATTAAAATGATCTAACAAAATATTTTAAATCTTTTAATAAAGCCTTTTAAAAAGAATTTAAAAAACATGTAAACACACTTATAACATATAAGTCATTATAAAGAACACTAATATATATATATATATATATATATATATATATATATATATATATATCATATAATTAAAATGATATCAAAACGTGTCCAAAGAAAACTCACTGGAGAGACTTGCTTCAAATAATCAACAGTAGGAGTGTGGTGAGAAAAGGAGCGTGGCTTGCTGGGTGTCTCTAGCCTCATGTTGGCAGGAGAGTTGGAGGGCCCACAGGGACTGGCCTTGGCCTCTGCCCTATAAACACTTGGATCCCCGACTGCGGCTACGCACTGGCTGGACCCAGGATATGAAGGACTGATGCGCCACCCTCTCTCATTGCCCCAGTTTGCTGGCCTGTTTCAGGCCAGAACCCCGTGGGCTGCCAGATCTCATGGTCCACCCCTGTCCAGCCCTGGCGAAGGCTGCATTGAGGATGTGGTGCCTTTCGTGTGGTGTGGCGTGGCGTGGCGTAGCGTGGCGTGGCGTGGCGTGGTGTGGCGTGGCGTGGCGTAGCAAGAAGAATGGCCCCTGCCAGAACGCCATAGAGCCTGGCAGGGGCCTCAAGGTCCTGAGAGAGTGGGTGGACGCTGGAAAGCTGGGCCAGGCGTTAGACCCGGGGCTGTCCAGATCAGGGCCGTGGGTGACCTCTTGTTTTTGTTTGTGTTTTTCAAGGAGACCACGTCGTCCTGATGAGACAAGGCGTTAGGTGTTCAGGAAGGTGAGTGAAGTCCCCATCGACGACAAGGGGAGTTTAAGGCCGTCGAGGGCCGGTGGGGGCGGCAGGGACTTGGCGGTCGGTGAGGGACCAGTTAGTGGCCAACGGGGAGAACATAAGGGAGGCAGGAACGGTTAGCGGTCCCTGGGGGACTGTTAGAGGCTGACCCGGCGGGGGAACGGCTAGAGGCCGGCGGTGGACAGATTTGCCGTTGGGAAAACCGTTAGAGGGCGGTGGGGGTTAGAGGGCGGTGGGGGAGGCGGTTCGCAGCCATCAGGGAACAGTTACCAGCTTGGGGGGACTGTTAGAGGCCGGCAGAGGGTGGGGGCTGTTAGGGGTCCATGGGGGAACCGTCAGAGGCTGGGGGTACCGAGCGGTTCGCTGGGGACGTTTGGCAGGTGCGGAAACCAGGCCTTGGCGGGGGCCTGTTGGGGTCCGTGGCGGGGACCGTTAGGGGCTGGGGGTGGCACTTACTGGCCCACGGACGGTTGGCAGTGTTTGGGTGGAACCGTTAGTGGCAGGGACGGGTTAGAGGCCAGTGGGTTGGGACAGGGCAGGGGTGGGGACGGATAGCAGCCATCAGGGCGAACTTGGGGGTCCAGGTGGGGGAAGGGTGGTTAGCAGCCATGGGGTGCAAGAGTTAGCAGACCCTGTTCTGCTGGTGTGAGTTCTGGCCAAGAGAGAAACAGCCGAGGAAGGCACCACGTTGGGCTCAGTGGCCGCCGCCTTGGGGAAGGTTCACTGGCCCTTGTGTTTCTGCAGAATGAGAACACTGCTCTCAACTTTCCCCCAACCCTTAAAAGAAAACTGCTCCATCTGGACAGTCTAGATGTAAAGACGTTGACAAAATATGATAAAGTAGAGAGAGAAAATAACGTGTTTTGTAAATGCCCATTTGTTTTAAAAAATCAGAAACATATTCTGGAAGAGACTTTGGAGTTGTTAGGTAGACCACCTCTAGCAGCCACATCATGTTTGTTCAGTGGGTTAGAGGACATGGAGCAGAAGATTGTGAAAAGGAAGAGAAGGTCCTGTGCCAGGCTGGTCAGATGTAAAAGATATTTTTCGTATTATAACCATTATTTTGAGTGTCCATTTTATTCCCCATCCATTATTGTATATACAGATGACAATGCTAAGTATTTTTTGAAATATCTAGTTTTTATTCTAAAGTGCCTAATACATGTCAAAATTAAAAGTGATAAAATATAACACATTTTGTAAATTTCATTTTGTTAAAATTCTTATGAAATTTTTTTAGGGGAGTAGCCCAAACCCCTATTGAGTAGTACACATTGTGTGCTAGTTCTCCAGAGAAGGAAAGGGAAAGAACACCATACTGATGTACATATAATGAGGCAAGAGAAACCATGGTTCCTTATGTCTATGCATTTTGTTTCACTTTACTGTGTACATAAGGTTTATAAAGGACAAATGAGTCTAAATCTACACCTAGTCTTTCTAGATATTAAAAGAGGTTGCCAGTGTCTGACAAAAGAAGAATTAGTAAACAATTTTGTATGTTTTATGTTAAATTCCTAAGAAAGATTTTCTTCTGAAAATTTTAGCATTATACCCTACTGGGTTGATGAAGGTCCAGAATGCTTTCATTTTTTAAAATTTATTCTAATTAGCTATATATAAAAGCAGAATGCATTTCAACTCATTGTGCACAAATGGAGCACAACTTTTCATTTCTCTGGCTGTACACAATGCAGAGTCACATCATTTGTGCAATCATACATGTACATAGGGTAATAATGTCCATCTCATTCCACCATCCTTCCTACCCCCATATGTCTCCCCTCTGCATAATCAAAGTTCCTCCATTCTTCCCTTGTCCCTCACTTATGGATCAATATCCACATTGAAGAAAATATTTGGCCTCTTGTTTTGGGGTGATTGGCTTGTTTCACTTAGCATGATATTCCCCAGCTCCATCAATATATCTGCAAATGCCATAATTTTATTTTTTTAAAGCTGAGTAATATTCCATTGGTTATATATACCATAGTTTATTCATTCATTTATTGAAGGGCATCTAGGTTGGTTACACAGTTTAGCTATTGTGAATTGAGCTGCTATAAACATTGACTGCATCACTGTGGTATGCTAATTTTAAATCCTTTCAAACTGCTTTCATACTGCTTTCCAAAATGGTTGCACCAATTTTAATCCTACCAGCAATGAATGAGTGAGTGTACCTTTCCCCCTACAATCTTGCCAACATTTATTATTTTCTCGATAATTGCCATCCTGACTGGAGAAAAATGAAATCTGAGAGGTTTTGACTTGCATTTCTCTAATTGCTAGAGATGTTGAACATTTTTCATATATTTGTTGATCAATTATATATCTTCTTATGTGAAGTGTCTGTTTGGTTCCTTAGCCCATTTGTTGATTGGATTATTTGTTTTTTTCTTGGTGCTAAGTTTTTTGAGTTCTTCATATATCTTGGAAATTAGTGCTCTCTCTGATATGTAAATGGTAAAGATTTTCTCCCATTCTGTAGGCACTCTCTTCACAATATTGATGGTTTACTTTGCTGAGAAGATGCTTTTTAGTTTGAATATATACCATTTATTGATTCTTGATTTCATTTCTTACACTTTAGGAGTTTTGTTAAGAAAGTCAGGCCCTAAGCTGACATAAAGATTTGGACCTACTTTTTCTTCTAGTAGGCACAGGGTCTCTGGTCTAATTCCTAGGTCCTTGATCCACTTTGAGTTGAGTTTTATCAGAATGCTTTCACTTTAGAGAAATGAAATTTTCAAATTAGAACTATTGTTATATGTGTGCAGTTTCAAGAATATTGTGTACACAGTGCACAAATTAAGTCTTTACTTGAAACATCTAGTCTGTCTAGATGTTTAGAAGTGTCCAGTGTATGTTAAATGTAGAGATGGTCAAATGTCAGTTTGTAAATATCTTTTTGCTAAAATTCATATGAAATATTGTATTTTGGTAATGGAACTGTTAAACTATTTCTCTGAGCAGTATAATATCATCTATACTTGTTTAATAATGAGGAGGTGTGAGGAAAGCAGTTGGAAAAGGGAATATGTTAGTGTGTTCATATTTGGACATTTTCAGACATAATTTTTAAAATATTTATTTTTTAGTTGTAGTTGGACACAATACCTTTATTTTATTTACCTTTATGTGGTGCTGAGGATCAAACTCAGGGCCTCACACGTGCTAGGCAAGTGTTCTACCACTGAGCTACATATAACCCAACCCCCAGACATCATTTTTTTATGTTTTGTTCATTTTGTGTTGATGTGTCTATAATAGACAAATGAGTTCCAATTTTGCAACATCTAGTCTCTATATGTTAAAGAGACTGTCAATGTATGACAAAGTAGTAAAATTAGCACATTTTATACATTTTGTGTTGAAATTCATAGGAAAGTTTGTCCTCTGTAAATGATTTTTGGATATGAATTTTTTCAACCATCTTTAAGCATTACATATGCCTATGCTTATCCAATGGACTGAAGTTAGAGAAAAGGGAGTGGGGAGGGAATGGTTGAAGGCCAAAATGATCCTATTAAAAGATAACTTAGGGGCTGGGGCTGTAGGTCAGTGGTACAGATCTTGCCTATTATGCATGAGGCACTGGGTTCGATCCTCAGGACCACGTAAAGGTAAACAAAATAAAGGCATTCTGTCCATCTACAATTACAAAAAAAATTTTAAAAACTCAATTATAGCTACTGTTACATATATTTTTATTGTTGTAACATAAACAGACTGGTGACAAGCAATGAGATTAAATCAATAATAAAAGGCTACCATTAAGAAAAGCCTGGGACCAGATAGATTCCCAGCTGAATTCTACCAGAAATTTAAAGAACTAAATCCAATCTTCTCAGATTATACCAAGAAATAGAAAGTGGACAACACTCACAAATCCATTAAATGAAGTCAATATTACCATTATATCAAAAAAAGATAAGGAAATTTCAAGGAAGAAAAACTATGGACCAGTATCCTTAATGAATTTAGATGTTAAAATTCTTTTTTTTAATATTTATTTTTTTAGCTTTAGGTGGACACAATATCTTTATTTTATTTGTATGTGGTGCTGAGAATCGAACCCAGTGCTTCACGCATGCTAGGTGAGCATACTACCACTCCAGCTACATCCCCAGCCCTAGATGTTAAAATTCTTAATAAAATATTACAAATTTATATTCAGAAACATTAAGAATATTATGCAACATGATCGAGTTGGTTTCATCACAGTGATGAAAGGTTGGTACAACATATACAAATCAAAAAATATAATACATCACATGAGCAGAATTAAAGGAAAAATCACACAATCATCACAATAGACGCAGAAAAAACCTTCAACAAAATTTGGTACATATTCATGTTAAAACACTAGAAATTAAGGATAGAAATAACTTACTTCAACAACATAAAGGCTATACATGACAAACCCAAAGCCAAAATTGTACTTAATGGGGGTAAACTGGAATTGTTTCCATAAAATCAGGAACAAAACAAGGATGTTCGCTCTTTTCTCACCTATTCGATACAGTACTCAAATTTTTATCTACAGAAATTACATAAGAAAAGGACATAAAAGGGATACAAATAGAAAAGGAAGAAGTTAGATTTTCATTGCAGATGATATGATCCCATACTTAGAAGATCAAAAAACTCTACCAGAAAACTTCTAGAACTGATGAAAAATGCAACAAAGTAGTAGGCTTTCAAAATCAATATCCAAAAATCAAAAGCTTTACTAAACATCAATAATGACTTTACTGGAAAAGAAATCAGGAAAAAAACCCATTCACAATGGTCTCAAAAAATA